CTCCTCTCCCCGACCTCGTACGTTTCTTCATCTCTTCGTTCAACTCCTCCTCCCATTCCTAATTGAATATACTTTGTGTACTTCTTCTTCCTTCCTGCGATTTCGAGAGGGGTTGCAAGGGGTTGCAAGGGGTGCGGGACGTAGGGAGTGCAATTTTTTGTAAATTCCGTTCGACCGGGTTCGAAGAGAAAAATTAGGATTAGAAATATTTTTACGGATTATTCTCAGATCTATCTAATCGTGCTTTCTTTCTTTTTTCTTTTTCTTTTGTCTCTTTTCAAAAGGAAATCGTGGAAAAGGATGTTCGATACCTTCTTTCCGAGTCCGTTGATTTCGCGTATCGTGTATACGTACGCGGGAGGAGGGACGGTTATCGTTTGATCGATGAGGGATTGGAGGAAAAGGGTGAAAAAAGGGAGGGGAGAAAAAGAATCGAGAATGGAAAGAAAATAGAAAAAGGCAGGTATATATATGGAGAGAGAGAGAGAGAGAGAGAGAGAGAGGGAGAGAGAGAGAGGGAGAGAGAGAGAGGGAGAGAGAGAGAGAGAGGGAGAGGAAATGATCTATAGAACGCTGAGCAAAGTAGATCCCGATAACAAAGGACCGTGCGATAAGCCGACAGGATGAGATTGGAGAAAGAGAGAAAGAGAGAAAAAGGAAAAAAAGGAATCCCGAACCATTGGGAATTTGTTACTCGAGCCTGCGAGTAAGGTGAATTCGATTCAATTCTGGCAACCTTCTTGGGTGAAACGTTACACGTTACGAATTTATTATTATCGTTGTTGTTGTTGCTGTAGAGAGACGAAAGTATATACACGTGTATTTTCTTTTTTTCTCTCTCTCTTCATAAAATGTACACAGTTAATAATAAATTTTTCATATATATTTCGACGTCTATATACTTTATATTTTGTCATCAATATACAACTAACTATAAATCTATCTATCCGTTTTAACTTCGTTCAATCTTACCTTTCATTGTTTCAACATCTTACTATATATTCTCGTCGAAATATACGTTGTCGTCCGAACGGATTTAATAACGGGACGATCGAACCACCCCGTTCTACTCGTCATAAGAACGAAGTTGGAAACGCCTTTATTAGAATACGCGTATCGTGCATTTTTACGGGAGGCGCGTAACCGTTGATTCCGCATAGTTGGTAGCCGGTGTCCTCGAACGGTTTAATTTTAGTGGGCGCGTAGAAAAACGATATAAAAATACCGTGTGAAATCGCGGTTTCGCAAACGCGGCGACGGACACGAGAGTGTGGGTGCGCGTGGCGGCGGGCAGGGAGGGGGTGAAGGGGTGCATCGTACCGTGACGCAATGGCGACCGATTGCACCGCGGCGCGCGGACTCTATTCTGAAAAGGAGCGGGACGCGTCTCGATCTGTGCACTATCCCACGCACGCGGAATTTCGCCGTCAATTTCGCCAATTTTCTTTTCATCTTACATGACACTTTCGTTCGAGTCACGATGTTCAGATATTTCCAATTGAAGACTCGAAACTTGAAATTCCTTGATTCCTTTTCGATGTCTTCGAATTTAATTTAACGCAACGCTTTCGATTTAAAAGTGTCTTGCAAGAAAAATTTTTAATCCCCTCGAATCGTAACGATTATACTTCGATTACAGGCGCTTCGAATCTCCGAAACCTTCCAATTCCAGTTAACCTAAATTACTAATTCATTGCTACTAATCTAAAAAAATCTTTATTAATCTCTCTCTCTTGCTCCTTCAACCTCGAATCTCAACTGACCACGGATAAATACCTAGATACGTACGTATCTAGCTACGTCTCTCTCGCATGACGTCGTTCACGTGTGCCATCGCTCGGGAAAAAAAAGAAAGAAAGAAAGAAAGAAAGAAAGAAAGGAAGGAAGAGAAGGACGGAGAAGGAGTGCGAGCCGGAGAAAGAGAGAGAAAAAGAGATAGAGAAGGACCGGGTGACAGCGCCGTGCATCCACACTAAAAATAAGGACGAAACGTAGAAAGAGAAAGATAGAGAAAGAGAAAGAGAGAGAGAGAGTTTTGAAACTTACTGAAGCTAGCCGCTGGCTGAGCATGATCCGCGGCCGTGGCTGCGGACGGAGGGGTGTAGCTGCTGCAGTAGTACGGCGGGTGCTCTATTTTGATCGCGTTTATTTGAGGCTGCATGTCGCTGAGGTCATGCAGTATGGACGCTGAAACCAGACACACATTAGCGGTTACGGATCCTCGCGCGTTCGTACGTCATCCGTTTTTCTCCTCCTCGCCCGAGTCTGAGTTTGAGTCGTCGTCTTCGTCGTCGTCGTCGTTTTCGTCCTCTTGCGGTCTCGATTCCCCGAGGAAATCGCACTTCCGCGCGTTTTCCTCCTTCGAGAACCTTCCCCCCCCCCCCCCCCTTCGAAAAAAAATTTTTTTTTTTTTTTTTTTTTTTTTCCCTCCTCACGAATCTTTTTTATATAAGATATAAAAGTAGTAGATGGTAATCGATTTATCCCACGAGTTTTCTTATTACATTCCTCAGAGATTCTTCACTCACGTTTTCAATATTTTCGATTCGCTTCGAATTTTTTAAATTTTCATGATTATACATGCCCTCCCTTTCTCGTCTCGAAACTATCGAAACCATAAGTAAACGCGAAGGGGATCGATTCC